GGGTGTGGACAGCAGGGAATCGCGGAGCAGCAGACAGGAGGACAGGGTGTGGACAGCAGGGAATCACAGAGCAGCAGACAGGAGAACAGGGTGTGAACAGCAGGGAATCGCGGAGCAGCAAGATGATCAACTTCTCCGATTCACTGTAGCCTGAACGCAATGACGACAGGCAACGTCAATGGACCATAAATACCTGCTGCTCAGCTCACAGGCCCAGAGAGAAAGCTGTCTATCCAGTGACTCAGACACGCACACAAAACTATTCTCTGCGATTCCAACACCAACAACAGCAAATGAGAAAAATACTCAGGGCCCTATAACAGGAGCCATGACTCACTGCTCACTGGAGGGGGGGCTGGGGGGCAGGAGGCTTTCTGGGAGTAAAACTTTAAACGCACAACTTTTCTCTTCTTGTTCCCTTTGCGCCTGTGTCTCAGAAGCAGACCCAGGTAGAAGGGTCAGGCGGTGTGACCCGGACTCTGCACGCCGCGCTGCGCGAATGAGGGGCCAGGAGCCAGCAGCCAGACTGCCGCCCTGGCACCACGACAGACCCTGCGGGCACGGCCCCTGGTCACTAACCCCCCCGCCACCCGCCGGCTGTGCGGGACTCTCAACCCACCGTGAATCATGCTCATATAGCGCCTTTCTCCCCCATCGCGTGTTAATTTAGGTCGGTGGCGCATCCGTGAGCCGAGCGGACGAGGGGGCGCAGGAGAGCACGGTATTACGCCATCGGGGGGCTCCGGCGCTCCAGCCTGACTGCGCCGGCCTCAAACAGCCCGCCTGTCCGATCGACAGGGCGCCCCCCAGCGTTAACTCAGAGCGCAATCAGGGGTGCAGGCTGCAAAACGAAACAACGCCGGGGAGGGGGTCGTTCGGACACAGAGCACAAAGAGAGGCGCCCCGCAGGTGCACACGAGACGGTACCCAGGGTGCACTGTTTCGCCCGCAGGCCGGGGTCGACACCTGGCAGACAGGCGAGCCCTGAGCAGAGGGGTGCAGCCCCCACCCCGCGGGACGAGGAAGAGGGTGCGCAAGAGCAGGCGGCACGCACGTGGGGGGCTGGGGGGGCACGGGCTGAATGAGCCCGGTTTGCATGCAGCCCCTCGTGCTGCACTGGGGGGCCCGGCGGCCGGACTCACGTATCGGGAGGGCTCCTCCAGGTTCTGGTCGTTCACGTGCTCAGGCACCGTCTGCGTGGCGCGGGGGCCCTGGGGGTACGGCTGGGGCAGCTGTCCCCGGAACTCCGACTGGATGAACTGCAGATGCCAGCTGAGACACAGAGCAGACAGGGAGGCCGGAGTGTCACCAGGACACAGAGGAACAACCTCCGGGTGAGCAACTGAGGAACACACTCCCCCAGACTCACACACTCTCACACACACACTCCCCCAGACTCTCACACTCTCACACACACACTCCCCCAGAC